ACACGGCAAAAGCATCGCTGAAGCGAAAAGGCGTCATAATAAAGAGAACTCACTCGTAACACCTTAGAAAATGGTTCACCACTCAAAGTAATTAAATGGTGGACGCATTTGGTAGTGCTTTTGATTTCTTTTTTGTTCTATCTGACCTTATCACGCAATATCTGTATAGAAAAAAATGATCTAACTCATCAGATAAATTTGGGAAATACCGTGTGAGCCAGCAAAACTATCCGGAATTCATGCTGGTTGCCTATTAGAAGATTTGAGTAGTCTTTTTGCTCGATTTTAATTCAATATGAGTTTACGTACTTTTTCCACATTGATATTTAACCAACATATGTTCAGTCACTGGCTAACAGGTGTTAAAATGTGTGGTAATTTTATACCATTTTGAACCGCCTATCTGCAGACGTGCAATACAATAACAACAATAACCAAATTCATGTGTTGGCTCGCTCATTGTACCTAATGCCACCGACAAAAACAACTCAATCAAATACACGTATGCACGCAACGCAACACAATTAGAAATCGATTCGGATTTCTATTTGAATTGGTTTGGTGCTACAACTCGATTCGACTCCCGTTATTTTCAGTTTAATTTTTATTATCTTACTTAAATTGAGTTTTCGAAGAAAATCGCACTCATTTACTGCGGTGCTTGTGTATTTGATGCTCTATCTCTATTTTCGACACACAAACATTTTTCATGCCGATTTATTTCAATGATCTACACACGCACCAGCTCACATTTCCTTTTTATGCCAAACTGTTTACTGAAGTGTTTAGTAAACACTTAAAATGAGTTTTAATATCGGCCGGAGTTTTCGATGTGCAACCGAACAACAGTTTGACTCTTTTCGATTACGGCACAATAAAACCAGCCAAGACTCTGTGCCAATGGTTTCCGAGTCTTTCTTATTTAGTAGTCAATTATTAAGCAAAGTGTTACTTTTGCCACACACACACACAAAACAGCAGCAGCAGCTCATGTGTAAATGTTTCCGACAATTGGAGAAGTTTTTGTTATAATTCTCGTCTGCTTTTTGTTTTTGTTTTTGTTTTTGTTTTCATTCCTATCACTCTTTCTCTCTTCGTCTCTTCCATAAATTTTTATTTATTTTATGGCCTGTGGTAAGAGATACTTTGAAAATGATTAAGAACAAAAGCGTTTGACGATTGTTTTCATTTTCCATTTATTTAATTTGAACAATCGAATGCTCACATTTCACTGAGCGAGAGATAGATGCTACCCATGTGTAGTGAGAGAGAAAAAGAATCGTGCGCATATATTGAGGATTTGAATTACCGACCTCTTCTTGATGGGCTCAGAGCAGCTATCTTATTTAAAATGGGTTTGTTTTGTTTTTATTTTTCATTCGAATGCTTGCAACCATTTGAAATACACTCGAATTCTCATCTATGAAAATGAATGGCTGTTGATAGCCTTGAACAGAGCAAAACATGTCTAGTTTAGAGCTTTTTTCACTCATCAAAATTGCGGTGAAGGAAACAAAAAAAAAACATACACACATAATCTTTGTTATGTTTTCGTTTTCTTTCTCTTTGAAAAATTGCACTTGAACTTGAAATAAAACGTTGGGCGACGATTTTGATAGGATTTTTTTTTGTTCAAATATGAAATTGTAAATATGATTTTTTATTAAAAATTTTTCCCACTGACGTAATATCACCGAAATTTCACCGAAAAAACAAAATGTTCGGTGGTGATAAACATTCATTTGTTATGAAGTCAGGATACAATCGTTCGCCATACACTGGTTGGGTCGGCTTCGAATGAAATCATTCGTAGTTTAAAATTAATTACAAGTTTTAAATTTAAAATTTCTGTAGAAAATCAGATCAGTCTTGCATTCCGAAGTACTTTTGTATTCGAAGTAGTTGCATTGCTTTTATTTTCACTGGAATCATTTCGAACACGGCAAATTTATAAGTGCATTCCATATTTCCATTGGCCAATTGGAGCATCTATGCGGTAGGCGACTCAAAGTAGAACCGAGTGAGAGAGAGAGAGAGCGAATATAAAAACGAAGAGTGCAAGTGACATTACAAAGTGCAAAAACGAACAAAGCAGACGATGAATATCTGTTGATGGTGATAGAAGAAAATTGGTGGTGGTGCTAGCAAACAAAGTGGATGATAGTCGAGCATAAGCGGTGTGCTGAATACGGCAACATGTGTAAACATCGATTTTCTATCTTGGTGCACGCACACCAACCAACTCTGTCTCTCACTCGCTCCGGCTTGTGTTTGTACACAGCTAAAGTCACACGCAGAAATTTGTAGACGTACGCATACGGACGATGGTTGAATTTAGTAATAGAATCAATACATGCATGCATGTATGAAGCAAAGAAGAAGTCAACAACAACAACAACAACAATTCGAGGGGATACCATGCCGACAGAGAAAAAATGTAGCGAGAAAGAGCATGTGTGCGCATTTAATCAATATTTGAGCAATGTTTTATGTATTCCTTTCTTGCCCTATACACTTATTTTTTTCATTCTTTCATTTTTTCTCACTTTTTTTCCTTCATTCGCCATGCCAATGATGATTTGACTATGCTTCACCGAAATGACGACCCATGACGGTTCTCATTTGAAAATGCATGTTTGCACCGTGCGTCGGAGGATTTTTTTTCATATGCACAGAGAGCAAACGAAACAAACAAAAATAACAACACATACAAGGTAACAACAGCGCGCGTAAAAACTTATCGGAATATTCATATCTCAATATATGCATTTTTCACACAGATAAGTTGATGAGAGGTTGTTTTTCTTCTAAATGCGAATGCAAAAGAAGGAGAAACGGCGAGACAAAGATAGAAACAAATTCAGACACATAGAAGTTAGAGTACTTGGTGTTGTTTGCAATTCGAAAATGTTTTCACATAATTACGCGGCGAATACAGACCGAAGAGGTATTCATTATACATACCACGCTATCTTCACAGGTATCATTCACTCACCGAAGAACGAAAGGAAAAACAAAAATTGTTCACAATTCGTACGGCTGCATTTATTAAAATGGCATTAAATCAGTGATATAGCATACAATGTAAAAAAAACATACATTGTGTGATAGGCACAGTGTATGCCTCGTTTCTCTTTCTTTTTTCATTTCATTTCATTCGGTCTTCTTCTTTTTCTCTATTTTTCCCTTGGATTCCCTCTCGCGCATTGCTCTGCTTTGTTTTCATTCAGCGTTCGCTCGTTTCGGATTTTAAATCATCATCGCTGCACATATAGATTCCATTTTGTTGTTATTGTTGCTGTTTGTTTGTTCATACTGCTTAAAATTGATGGCACGAATGATGAAGCGAGTGAGAGAGAGAGAGAGCGGCTGAAAGAAAGACGGAGGGCCAATTGTGAAAGCATTTCGATGGTGTGTTTACGCATCGTAGTTTAGTGCCTTAATTTAAAGCCGACAAAATCGCACTATACACACACACACACACACACATATTGTTTGTCAAGAATAGTATTCAAAAGAATTCTTAAAATAAAATAAGAAAAAAAAGGAAAAAAAAGGGAAATCTGTTTCGAATTGGGAAACAATTAATGTGTTCATGCTTTTGTGGTGCTGAAGAGTGTAATTTATGTAAGAGCGCACAGTTGCATACATATGGTTGGCAGATTATTCGTTTCCTGGACACGATTGTAATGCTCTTTCAACCGCGCTTAATAAATGTCACGTTCAAAATGCGGCTCAACCGTTGAGCGAACAGCATCTCTTTTTCTCTTTTTATGTATCACCGCCTTCGTCGCATCAGAAGATTGTTATCTTGCCATCAAGATGCGACTAATCATATTGTTAAATCTAGGGAATTGTTACTTGTGGCGTTTTTCCGCTGAAATTCAAACTGAGAGTCGGACGCCAAAAAAGCATGTGATTACAGAGAGCCAAAAAGAATCGAGCGAATACACACGTGTCCAACGAACTGAAGAGAACCATAAGAAGTAGATAGAGAAACCCAACAAAATAACATTAGACACACCACGGATTGTTGGACACACATGCGAACAGTTCGTCACTCACGAAATTCTTATAGGACATTTCAGTTTTTATAGAATTCGTTATTTCTAATTCGCTTTCGTTTTATTCGTTCGTCTGACTGGATTTCATACACACTTTTATTCGATAGACGCTCGTCGCAACAGCTCGGCGACGCTTTTTTTCTCTGTTCTTCTTTTCTTTTTATTTTTCTTTTCCGAATATATTTGCAGCGATTATATCTCAAACTGTGACCGAAACACACACACTCAAACTTTGCATAAATTCTAATAAGTAGAAAACGAAAATTTCGTTCTTTTTCGATCACTTTGAACAAAAAAAAAAAGAAAACAAAATTGTCGATTTGCACTTTGCCTGTTCGTAAAGTCCAATTGACGGGACATTCATATAACTTGCTGTGTTTGTTTTGATGGCGTTTAGAATGTTTTTGTTTCGCGATAAGACGAAGTTGCGGAATTTACACGATTGCGATAAAAGAAGAATGAGTAGTAGACGAGAGCCAAAATCAATTTCGACAAAAGATTAATAACGGGCTGACTGAAGATAACACATAGACTGTTCTGTCCCTCTCTGTCTGCCGCTATTTCTCTAGATCTATACCCGATCACAAATATAGAAACATCCGAATTATATTAAATTATACGATTATAATATAAGACACACACTATATACACACTTCGGTCGTGCTTCGAATCAAGGCAAAATACAAAGTAAAGCACAACATTGGCTCGCATTCGTTTTGGTTAAGCATCAAAACTAAAAATAATTTCGTACACAATCTGGGCATCTGATGCTTTCCGTCTTCGACAACGTCTGCTCGAAACCAAAACGAAAGCAGAAAAAAAAATTATTTTCCTTTGGTTCTTTCAACGTTTTTTCCATAAAAAGTCTTCGTTTATTTTTGTTTGATTGACGACCATTTACGGAATGACAAATATGAGTTTTAATTGGATACACACCGAGAGGATTATTGTCGTTCGATGATGGCTTTTAGTACGATGAAAATAAAAATGGAAATAAATTTTTTTTTGGTAAAATGCTTGAAAACACTTCACTACAAATTTCACTTCATAGCACGAAAAATTCTACACGCAAACAACATGTGATCGCTAGTAAATGTAAATCGAAACTGAAACGCGATGACATGCACAAGCAAAACAGTAGCGAACCAAACGCGCGATACCGCTGCCGCTGACGCCGTTGCTGCCTCTGAATTTCATGTGTTTTTTGTTGTCGTCGTCGTCGTCGTTGTCTTTGTTGTAAATTCGTATGGTTGTGTGTTTTGTATTGTATGTTTCGTCTAAACACAAATGCAAACAGTCAACATTCACCAGCCCGTCGAACAGTATCACAGATTCGAAATATAATTGCGCGCATACGACGCGAGCGAAATAGCGCTATCGCCCAGTTTAGTGGTGTTGAGCAAGATGAAGCAACCGACTGATGATGAGATAATGGAAATAATAGCTAAAATGTAAGCGCACAATTGCGCATGTATTAGTTCATGTGTGTGTTCACTGTAGAATGTTACTACATAGAGAAAAAAATAGAGACCCAGCAGCTATGTGTACGGTGCACATGCAGCTACTTTGAATTGTAAACATTCAAACTCAACGCATACCATACACAACAGTATGACCAATTCTGAAACCCATACACATTCATCACTCACACACAACGGGTAGTGCTCTGGTGATTTGATGACCGAAGACCAAATAGTCGCATTTCATAATAATAAAAAATTCGACACTTACATTTACAACATCGTGCGCGCATACAATCGAGAGAAGTGGCGCGCACTAGCACCAAACGTTCTATTGCGACGAGTTGAAATGACATTTATTCGATTGTATGTATTGGAAACGGGCGCTCTTATTTATGCATGCGCATTGCGTACAGTACCGCTACTTTTTTTTTAAATAGTCTGTTTACCTCTGAATGAATTTAATAGCCCTAAAAAAAATTCTATATACAAATTTATACGGTATATACTATACTATTTAAATAGAGCACTCCAAGTCGATGTGTCGTTAACGATACAAGGTATACCACACTATCACAATCTTCCTGTGTGTGTCTCTCTCTCTCTCTCTCTTACTCCATCGTTCATAAAGTTGAATGAATTTTACCGCGATTACCGCCGATGTTGCATTACCAATTCACCGAATACAATGTTGCCGGCTGCGAAACCTGCAATTTTATTCAAGCTCATTTGCAATGATAAAGAACTTGAAAATAAATATTGAAAGGTGACGGCAGCGAGACGGAGGCACCAGATAGATGGTGGTGGTTCTCACGTGTTTTTGGCTCTCCCCCTTTTGGCCATAACATTCAAATTAATATTGTATGACATCATTTGCGTTGATCTCATTTTCAATTCGTTGTGCCGAATATTGCTAATCGATACTGTTTGCCACACAGCATTCCCTCTCTCCATTTCCATTTCCATTTCCAATAGCATTGCAAATAATTTATTCATAACCGTGATTACTTCCGCTGGATGGATGGAAAATTAAAGCTAATACATTTTGTCTAGGTTTATCCATCACTGGATTTTGCATTGATCATACATCTAATTAAGAAGCACTGCTTTGGAAAGCGAACCACAAGCGTCCTCTATTTTTTTTATACGCCGTTAAACGACGAAAGATTTTTGTTTTTCATTCTATTGGAAAGAGTTGAGTTGACTGCAGGATTACAATGACATATTCCATGGGTTAGAAATAGGAATAGAAGACAAGTTATACTAAGCAAATTGGCGATTGAATGAATTGATCCAGAAACCATCGAATACTTTGGATGGTGGATGCATGCTCGTTATTATGAATGGTTAATTCATGTTTGCCCTCTGGATATTAGTTAGCCATTTGTTTTGCTCTTGAAAGAGGCATGCGACACGTTGATTCAGTGAATTTTTCGAATATGCGATGAATGTTTTATTAACGACCGTCGAAAATTCGAATTGAAGAACATAAGTGATGAATTGGATGGGATTTCGGAGAAAAACATAGAGTTATTTGTTGTACTTTGCGCTTTATGTCTTTTGTTTTGCGTTGTGCCTTGAGCAGTGTATATGACTCGCTTCCAATTTCAAGAGCAAAACAAATGTCGCAACTACTTCATAATTATCAACAGTTTCAAAAATGGAGAATATAGCTCAATCGTAGTTAAACAAATGATGCATTATCACGTGAAGTGCGTCAAGTGTTTTAATAGCAATGTTTCTATCTAAAAACACGCACACACGAGATGAGGAGAACGTTTTGCCATAACATCGTTGATTCGGCAGAAACAAGTAAGTTCATGCCCCTGTATTTTGTAACATGCAACACTGTGTTTGCGTTTTTTTTTCTGCCTAAATGAATTCATGTCAAAATTTAATATGCAAAAATGGCCCTCTTTGCGGGAAAAGCGTGAGAAAATTGCATATTTTTCTTATGGACACATGTTTGCCATTCCTATTAGCAACATTGCATATGCATTCTTAACGGCAACGATCCCGAACTGCAGTGAAAGATCTTGTTGAAAATACAGTTAATGGATTGTTTGTTTGAACTTGATGTTGCAGTGATGAACTCGGCGACTTTCTACAAAATGAAATGGAGAAAGGGACAAAATTGTTTCCATGTATAATTACCGTCATTTATTAGCTAATGTTTTTGGTATCTTTTAAATGAAAGAATGCAAAAAATATGTGCGATGAAAATGTCTTGGATTAAAATGTTTTATTCTCAGATTCAAATCATAATCGGTTTGAATATGCTCCAATACTGAAATGGAAACTTAAGTATTTTCGAAACAAAAAGTTGCAACCAAAAAATTTGTTTAAATTTGATTTGATTTCAAATTACTTTTGATTAAAGTTTTTTTTTTCTGTCAATCGACACTCCAATGCGATATATTTCAAACCCGGCCCATTTATAGGCTCAAAAGGCCTTTTCGGATGTTTCGTCAGAAAAATTTTCATTGGATTTCAAGTGTCAAAACAATTGACAGATGATATTTTGTTTTGAAAATCGCTGTAGTTACGTCGTTTAATTTGTGGTTTTTCATCTCTTTTTCCTTTCTGATTACAGTTTTGAATGAAAAGTGTAACCAATTCACTAGATTGTTGTTGCTATTTACTATAGTCATATAGTTATAAGCCGAGGCGCATGTGATGCGTTTCTAAAATAAATCGATCAGGAATTGCGTTCAAAATGAAGGCAAAACAACGAAATCGTACGACATAGAAAGGGAAAAGAAAAGACAAGAATTAATATCAAAGAATTTAAAAGAAAAATGATTGTAGCAAACGATTTAAAAAAGTATAAAACGGTTGGCCTCGGAGCTGGTCTAACAACGGTCGTGTAAGTGTTGCATTTGATGAAACTATAGGTAGTGAACAACTGAAAAATATGGTTCGATCGTACGAGATGAAAGAGATAGAGATAAATGCTTGCATACAAACCAAGCAACCAGTTGATTCATGTTCACCAATGTGTTCGCAATGAAATCCAATTAAACTGAATTGTTTGCGTCCTTGTTAACAGTACAGTTGTTCGGTTTGAGTGATTTTGTTGTTTCAATGCAATTCACACGGTTATTTTGAAACAGAACACACATCTACCTATATCCTAATTCGAATGTTTTCTAATGGATTTTCAATAAAAACAACACATTCACAGAGCTGGACTTATTTATTATGAATACTCTCGGATACAGCAGAGATTGAATATGCTAATAAGTCCATATGTTTTGAACGTTGAAACCAAGCATCCCGACTACATTTATATTAAATATCACATCTATAAGGAGTCAATGGAACAAAGAAAAAATGCAGAGCTCCAGGGAAAAGTAACAGAAAAAACTCCCATTTTTAATCGATTCCGATTTAAAGATTAACAAATTTGGTATGATTTTTATGAATTTCAGAAATGGAAAAATGTGATTGTACATCCGATTGGGAATTGGTGGAAATCGGTGAAGCATTCAATTGCATGGCGTTTATTGGAAGTGGCCAAAAACGGTGATTATCATGATCGTTTGAAAGCTGTACGCCAATTGGCTCGAATCGACCACTTAAAAGGTTTGTTTATTTGTTTTTTGAAACCTTTCCCAGTGTTAGGAGTCGAATTTTGTTCTTTCATTACATTTTTGAATGAATTTAACTATTTTTGAATATTTGTTTACTGCCCTCAGACTGGGACTATCAACATTTGGCCCAAATGTGTAATGCACGCACTGCCATTTCATTGGCACGTCATTTCTCCGACACTCGTTGGTTTTTACCGCCGCCAAATTTCGGAGCGTTGCGCCAGCCAAAATCATTAATCTCCGACATTCATGATCACCTGAGTCAATTGCATCCAAATCAATGTTTGAGCAAATTCAATTCGACGGCATTCGATAAATTTAGCATTTTAAATGGTTACACCTATTCGAAAGCGACAACAAATGGCGTCGCAGTTTCGCGGCAAGAGTATGAATTTATGCGAAAATGTCTTGAGGCTCTGTTTCACCTGACTCAAGATGCTGAAGTAGCCGAAGCGCTGTTGAAACAAGGATTCTTGCAAACGCTCATGGAAGTTCTGAAATTATTCCATGCCGATATCAGTTTACGCTTTCTGTTGGCAAAAACTGTGGCTAATTTCACCGTGTGTAACAAATATTATAGCGATTTTTTTGCCACCGGTTGGATTGGCGTCTTATCACGATGGACACGCAATCCAGACATTCGAATGCAAGCAACGGCCGCCAAGGCTCTAGCCAATTTAGATGTGGATGATATTAATCCAAGTGAATATCGAGCCAAAATCTACCCATTGTACCCGCTCATTCGGTCACGAAAAAAACCACAACTCGACGTGATTTTCATTCATGGTCTTCTAGGTGGGTGAAGAGTGTTTTTTTTTTGCAATTTTCATTAATTCAAATAATTTAATTTGAACATAAATTTTCTTAGGCGGTGTTTTCATCACGTGGCGTCAAAAGGATCCAAAAGAGGACGATCTTGGACTGTACGGTAAGAAGAATGTTTATAGCAAATCCACCGACATTATTGACTACGATATTTACCTTGAGGATATTCACGATGGCACGAAACATGAAACAAACCAAGCGCACATTGTTGCTAAGGCCAAATTCAAACGACCAAATATATCTCATAATAAAAATGTCCTAAATTCCATATGGACACATGAATTGAGTAAGTTTTCGTAACTAGTGGAATGGGTGTCACACTATTGTGTGTTTGTCCGTTGCGTACAGTCAAAATCATACTTACGGCTTTTTCGGCTTTTTGTTTGACATACGAGTGCCATTATTTAGTGTTGAGTGTTGACGCCTTGAATTAAATTCATTCATATCGAGTGAATTTGATTAAAAATTTCGCTACTATGGTTGTGGATGAAAAAAAACAAGCAATGTATGACTAATAGTCTCATGTTCATTAACTAATAATATTGCGTATCACTAACCCACACTGTTCTCAAAAAAGTATTCGCAGACTGGTTAATTCGAGTTTCATAACAATTTGCATATCATTACCGTTTTAATTTCATCTAAATCGAGAAATAATTTCTCAACCCTTTCCATTCAAAACCATAGAATCAATGACTTACTCTGAAGAAACACTAACCAGCAGAAAGCCACCAAGTGAAAAGGAAATCAAAATAAGTGACTCGGCTACGAAGGTAATTTCAATGCTTTTTAAATGGTTTGCTATTGAAGTTCAACAAAATATCTGGCAATTCATTGTAGGAATTTCTGGAAACTTTAAAAGCTGCGGACGTAATGCCGAATGATTGGGAGGTGGTATTCCCTGACTGTCCAATTGACGCAAATCAACAATCGGAGGGTTTTTTCAGCGTGGCCGGGTAAATTTTACAAGAAATGTTTACAATAAACACATGAATCAAGGTCTAATTTTGTACACATTTTAGTGACAAATGGATAAACGATGATCAAACTGAAGACTACACCTTCTGTTGGCCTATGGATTGGATCCCTCGAGAATTTGTAAATTTTTAAAGCATTGAATTTGGAGCGTCGAATAAAAAATAACGCGTTTTTTCTCTTTCTATTCAATCCACAGCCAAATATTCGTGTGATCGGCCTCAACTACGAAACCTCAATTAGTGAATGGTCATTGAATTTGTTGTGCCCGTGTGAAAAGAGCAAAAGTTCGTTACACGATCGATCCGAAGAGTTGTTGAATGCATTATGTGCATCGAATGTGGGCCGTGACTGTCCTGTAGTTTGGGTCGGTCATAGTATGGGTGGGCTCGTGGCTAAAAGTATTATTGTTCAATCACTTTTGAGCACGGAGAAGAGTAAGAGGGTCATTGCAGAGAACACACGAGCCATTATGTTCTTAGGTTGTCCACACAGAGGTTCGCCGGTTGCCAAGCTCAAGCAACATGTTCAAATGATTTTTTCGCCAACAATCGAAGTGAAGGAATTACGTGAAAATTGTCAAAATCTGGTGAATTTGCAACAACAATTCGAACAAGCATTGAAAGAGTTACCAAAACCCATAACAATTATCAGTATTGCGGAAGGTTGTCCAACAAATATCACAGCATTTAAATTTCCCATGCAATTTGTCACAAAGGAATCGGCCAAACTTGATATTGGCGAATTTTACGTACTAAATGTTGATCATCTTGGCCTGTCAAAGCCCATATTTCGTCAATCATTTCTCTATCAACGCCTCATCAAAATGATCGGTGACGTTATCGTAACGGCCACCAGAGAGGCCAAAGAGGCTCGTGGTGCAGCTAAAATCGTACAAAACCATGACACCGGCTTCGAAAATCTATCTAAAGACCATGATCACATCATGTAATACCATCTCATTTATCATTTTTCTCACCGTTTTATTCTATTTTAACCAAACATTTGACTTCTTCTCGAAATATTTGTATTGTAGTGATCATTAATTTATTATTATTAAGCGTTGTGATAAAAAGCAATTTCTTTTGTACAAAACAAGAAAATACAATAAATATTTTTCGGACCAATAGAATTGCTGCTGTGAATTCAACAGTCATGTGTGGATCCACACAAATCCATTCCTCGATACATTTGATTGTCTACGTAGCTTTCCTAAATAAAGAATATGATTTTTCAAATTTGAACAATGTGAATGGTTTCTTTTCTTCATCGCCTTGGAATAGAGATGTGAGTGATTTTTTTTTTTTTTTTCGAAAAGATTTAATAATTTTTTGCAATTTACATGGATGAAGATTCACTAGCACCCATTAAAAAAAAAGAGACGAAAGGTGTTGACGGACGAACCCAATTCCAGAGCAAAATTGTCCAAACAAAAACACGTCTCAATATTATTGAGAGATTTTTTTCTTGACCTATTGATCAAAAAAGTGTTCCTAAAAAAATTACTAATTCATTTCAACAATCGCCCAAGCTTACCATTTTTACCCATAAACTCCAAACAAAATGGCCACATTTAGTGGTTGATGCGCGTAAGAAACGGAAGAGAGAATGAATACGGCCTATACAATTATTTTTAAATTATTTCTTTATTTTTAGGTAGTAATATGTGTTTGTGTGTGAATGTGAGACTAACATTACAATTTCATTTATGTAACTTTAATGTAATTCAATTAAGTTGGTAGTTTGTTGTTGTTTGTCAGCGTAAATCTCTGCAACTGTCTTAAAAATGTTATATCGCATTGAGAATGGTGTTGTATCGGGGAAATTAGCGCGAATTCCTATGTTGTAATGCATTTTATGGATTTTTTGTTTGTTTGTTTGTTGTTGTTGTTTTTTTTGTTTGGTATAAATACGAAAAAAAGTGGCTTGAAAATTAAATGTATGCTTCCTGTACTTTTATTTTATCGGGATGGGAATTGTCGTTTTTATTTGTTGTTGTTGTTCTTCTTCTTTTGTGAAATATGTGTTTTTTTGGAAATTTTCTCAAGTGCTTGCCCATCTAATTGATTCCTTTTCCATTAAAATAGTTCAACTGGACTTTCTCTATGTAATTTTTCTTTTCTGCTATGGCTTTATTTTATTCTTCTTTTTTAATTCTTTAAAACAAGTTTTTTTTTTAGTTAATTCTATGCAACTGTTGCTATCATTATTTCAATCTGTGCTTTCATCATCCGGTCGGTTTGACAAATTGTGTGTGAGTGAGTTCTTAATGTATTTTTCTTCTGCTTTCATATTCTTCTCCTCGTTTTTTTTGTGTTCCATTTGAATATGTTTAAAAGTAAACAATAATCATAATGCTGGAGAATGTAATATTTATGCTGTTGTATTTGTTTGATTGTTAAATATATAGAGATTTTTTTGTTGTTCATTAAATCGGTTTCATTTCTATTTTGCTGATCTAATGCACTGAATGTTGCCTTATTTCAACATTATGCGGTGATAATGTGGTGGTTTTTTTTTGTTGTTTATTATTCATTTAGAGTTAGAAGAGTTTTACTAGCTTTCTATATTCAAATTTGTAATAAGTTTTTTCTTTTCTTTCATTCATCAATTAGATTGAGAATAGTCGGTTAGAGTGTGACGGTCCTGTTCATTTTATGTTCGTATTGTGCTTAGTGATGGTATATTCAAATGTGAAATGTGTAAGCCAAGTCTGATGACGAGGATGATGGTATATGGAGTTGTTTGTGTCCAATGGGTTAAAATGCCCGGCAATTTCCGTTTTGCTACCATATTCCATTTATCTGAAGCATTGTTTCACACTTTGACGGGGTAGAGAGAGAAAGATTATAGACGTATTTGACAAAAAAATTCAGAAATCCGATCGTGCACACATTTCACGAACGAATCTCCTAATTTTTTTGTTTTTTTTTTTTTACTTCAACAGAATGCATGATCCGAGTAGATTGAACGCATGCATCTGCATTTTTAGTGAAAAAATGCTTGAGATAGATTTGTGTTGCATTGAAAGCGTTAGCATGTTTATCGATTACCGTTTTGGATGAACAGACTGAAGCCTGTCATTCAAACGCCATACCACAATTGTATTGTGTTTGGCATATTCCATTTGCGAAATTTAAACAAAATCAGCGCGAATCAGCTTCATATTCATTTGGCTCTGAATTGTGAGCTCAAACAACGAAATTCCGACACGATGCTTGAATGAGCGACAATGAATGGGATAAGCATAAATTGATTGTCACCAATTCAAATCGCGTCGCCTCGAATCGATAACATTCGAAACTCTTTCAATAAAATACTTTTAGCAAACGTTGGTGGTAATGGAACTATTCGCTTTTCATTTGAGGGGATGCCATCATTCGTACAATAGGTACAAAATCTAAACCAGACCGTAAGGAATTCAATACGAGATTACAAATAGTTTAGCGAAAACAATAGAGAAAACCGAAGTCGGATCAGATTAACCAAAAAAAGTAAAAAATAAACATTTTGTGAAAAAAATTTTTGCATTTTTTTTTAGTATTTCATTCTAGATGAGAGTGATTTCGCTATCTTACTCTCTTTTTTTTAAATGAGTGGTTCATTTCTAGTATGCGATTCTCTTAGGTGTTAAATGTATGTTCATTTAGACTATTTTGTTTAAATAACGCTTTAGGTGTGAATTTTTTTTATCATTTAATTCATAACTATTTTTACAATTGCATGTGATTTTTGTGAGAATGTGTTAAAGTTAAAAAGAGTTTCATTTTAGTGGTGTGGTGAGTGAGTGTGTGACTGGTTACTATTGCTGAATTTTGCATTTGAATACTTTTTTTTTTCCTTCATCGTGTGTGTTTAGAATTACATATATTTATATAATAATATATAATAAATATATTTATAAAAAAAAATGAACCGAGATAGGAAAAGCGAAAGCGTCTTTTTATAGCAGCAAAACAAATAGTTATACAATTTTTTTTTCTGTGTATTTTTTTTCCCATCATTTATCATCATTAAATTCATATTTTTTTGTTGTTGTTGTTTTGTCAGTGTCAAAGAAGGTACGAGATATAATTAAAATAGAGTTAAATTTATATTTATATTTACTTCTTTTCTGCTTTGTCTTAGATCTTTTTTTTTGTTTGTTTCTTCCTTTATTTTTTTTATCTACTTAAAAATAGTAATAAATCATATAACGATCTAAATAGTGAAGATTTTTTTTTTACTTTGTATTTAATCGATTTTAATGATTTTTTTTGTCATTGCTTTTTTCGTCCATTTTTTGTATTAAAATTTTTTGTTTGTTAGAGCAAAGCGTTATTTTGAATTCAACTATTTTGTTTGAAGTGCTGAAAAATCAATAATCTACAGATTTGAGAATCATGTGACACACAAAACAAACGAAATCGTGAAAATGAAAACGAACGAAAAATAATCGAACAAATATGGACTAGTTTGACTTTGCAATTCGATCGAGAGAGACAGAGAGTTGATGTGTTTTTTTTTTGGTTTTATGTCTCTGTTTCAATCATATTGCTCAACCGCATTGCGTATGATTGGCTGTCTGACAAACGGACATCTCTGAGATAGATATACATACACGGAAAGGCACCAGGCATGCTAACTCGCTGAAATTTATCTTTGGCAAACCACACTAATGCCAACTTACAACAACATAGTTCTCTCTCAATCTTACTCACAACATGATGGCAATTATTCAGTTTCGATTTTTCTTTTCCTTTTTTTTCTGTGATATTTGCGCATTCTGATGAAGAGAAACTTTGCACTCGGTGTGTGTGTGTGTGTGTGTGTGTGTATCAAACTCACAACTCTGTGCTTTCGGATTGCGTCTAGATTATTCTGGGAGCGAGTGGTGTTGATGGTGAAGCCAAAGATTAGATGTGAGAATTACAGAACTGCACCAGAACAATGAAATACATTCGTTGGTATGGCTGTGAGCCGGTCGATTGCATCAATTGTGTGTTGTAAATATAATTGGGTATATTCTCGTGGGAGATTTGTCTTCAAAGTGCCCGAGAGATTGTGTGCCGGCTGCCGCTTGAAGTTGTTCCATTAAATTTCAGAGTCTAGCTGAGTGTTTGAGATAAATGCAGCTGATTTTTTTTTGTATTTCTTTAATCAGAGGCTTTCTTTTAAGTGTTTATGGTTTCTGGCTTTGTTCTTTATTTTTCTCGTCCGGATCGATTGTATCTGGCGATTTTTGATTAAAATAGACGAATTTAACAGACGAACAAAAAAAAAAACAGAATGAAAAAAACAAACAATAAATAAACAGCAAAAATTCAATACAATTGTCGGACACACGAAAGAATATGTATGAGCATATTCGATGCAGAAATGACCGGTAAGTGATGGTAAATGCGAGAAATAAACAAATCATCATTACACCGAATATCCAAATAATGCGCTTCGCAACCCACAATACAATTGCATTGAACCCTCGAACCTCTTAACCATTTTTAGAACCGAAATTAAACGAAAAAAAAATAGAATCGAGATAATAATTTACGCTAAAAATATCTAGTTGTTTTTTGTTTTGTTTATTTCTACATACTTCATTTATCTTTAATCTTTATCTATATATATTTATAAAGAGAGAGAGAAAGAGTTGATTAGTGATGATGATGCTTGTGTGATGGGCACATATCGAATGAATTTGTTTTTTGTTTTTATTTTTTTTTCGGAAAAAAAGAGAAGAGACAACGACATTCCTTTAGAGTGTACGGCATTCTGTGTGTTTATGATTCTTCTTCTTTTTTTTCCTCATTTTTTTTATGAATATTAATTATTCTTCTCTTTCTTCGTGTTTTGTCTGCTCATCGTCGTCTCCTTCCACCGGAAGGAATCGCCTATGTTTTTTTTTCTTTCGCATTTTGTGAAATTTGTATTTAAGTTGAATGTCTATTACCTAAAAATCATGTCAATAATATTTATAAGTTATTTTGTGTCATTTTTTTTTTATTATGTTGGTTTCACGTTTTTTCTTTCTTTGTCGTAGTAAATAAATTCATTAAATAGTTAGTAATGGTTAGAGTGTGTGTTTCAATTCAGAAAATGATTTTCTTTTTGTATCATCCATTGGTTATTTTTGTCTCCATTTTTTTCTTCTTTTTTTTTGTTTCCCATTCAAATTAATTCAAAAAGTTTTATATTTAAGTATTTTTTTTTTCTTCATGTTATTCGTTAATCTATTCAAAATAAACTAACACAACGAAAATCGAAAGGCAATGTTTCATTTAAAATGTGATTTTATCTTCATTTGTATAGATGTTAGTTTTTTTTTTTTGAATTTTAGATGTTTTTGTTTTTCATCATCTTTTAATAGTAAGTTAGTTTTAGTTAGTAGAGTACAATTACTTAAGTTTCAAAAAAAAGGTATTCCATGTTTTTATTTTTGTCTAGAGATTTATTTTTATTGTGTTTGAAAATAGAGTTGCTTGCTTTGGAGGTTGATGTTCATTCAGTTGGTTTTTGCTAGCGATTTTATGTTTCTTCTTTGTGTTGCTTAATATGAGGCGTGTGCATACGATGCATGTGCAATACAGCATAGACACTATTTCAAAATAGTGGCACACGCAAAACACACACACATCACATGGTTGCTCACAACGTAGTTCGTTCTATTCGCAAAACACGATATTTACATTTAAAAAAATATTGCGAATTTAATGCACGATTCGTCCTTTTTTTCGGAATGTAAACCGTGTATGTGTGTAGAAATAAACAGAGCAACATGAAAACTTCCCCCCACCAAAAAAAAAAAAAAATATATATATATATATATGCTCAAGGCGATGCAACAATATCGAGAAAAAAAGTGTCCATTTCGAAGTCTATCCGAAAGAATTATTACTCGAATTAATAAGACGTATTTTGATTGAAAGCCAGCCAGCAGTGGCAAACCGATTTTTTTTATACTTTTTCTTTGTTACATCTCGTCAGTTTTTTTTTTACTTTTTGATTCTATTTGTTTTTATTTATAATTTTTTTTTTAAATATATTTTAGTAATTGCACTAAAAGCAAAAGAAAAGAAGAACGTTTCGAAATAGGTTAAAAATGTGAGAGTATAAAAACAAGAAAGAAAAACGAATAAGAAGAGCCGTGCTCAGGTATAAAAAGAAACCCCCAATAAAGCGTTGAACGTATGTGATTTCGCTTAAGCAAAATGTATGTGTGTTTGGTCCACAAAATGATGAATTTATTGCGAGCGCAGCGCTCCCTCTCCCTTCTCGACGACGATGTTGACGTGTGTCTGCATTTCAGGTGCAATGGATCAGGGTCACTACAATATCAAACAATTGCTTAACTTTCAATACATCATGATCGTCTCTGTTAGTCCTTGTTTTGTGTGTGTTTGTTTTCTTTTCTTCATTTGTTGGTAATGTGAAACTCCCTGTGCTTTTTTTAAAATATTAGTTACAGTAGCTTGGCTCCTCTTTTGTTGGTTGCATAGCGAATACATTCAGTGAGGAAAAGAGTAAATTTTTCTTCAGGAAATGGCGTGCAATTGCACTGAAAATCCGATAATTCATTTTCGAAACACACACAAACAACAAAAAGATTCATCACTTAAGTTTTTTTTTTTCAGACAGAGAAAATACTCCAAACAAACGAAACAAACATGTTCAATAAGATTCCAATAAGAGTGGTTTTTTCTTTGCTTTGAATTCATTCACAACAGAAAAAAAAGAAAGAAAAAAAAATCTTTATCATAGTTTACTCATTATATTTATACAGTACTCTTAATTAGTTCATCAATTTTTTTTTTGCTTGCTCTCGATTCCAAAAATGAGGAATAAAAATCGAAATAAATCAAATAAACATTCAAAACATTGCTGATTGATTACAAATTAATTCATTTTTTTTCTTCTCTTTTTTGTTCGGCATTCTTCTATGTGGTAGTAAGTGATGTGCATTTCGCTGTGACGACGACGAGAAATCAATAAGTTTCTATTTTGACTGAATGATTTTGCACTGTGTGCAAAATTTCATAATTTTTCGGTCGGTTCCTGATTTTGAATCTAGTTGCGTTATGCCTGCGACTAAAAAAGGAACATCGACATCCGATGAATTCCTGTACAATAAAGAAAAATGGTTTGAACAGCATTTGTTTATGCATGCGAACGACTGACTAGAGCACGTGCTTCATTCTAAGCGTGTTTATTCAATTTTTTTCCCATTTTGTTTTTTTTTTTCTTGGTTTTTCCAATAGCCATTCCATCGATTACAATTATTTGTGTTTTTTTTTCTTCTTTTGTTGTTTTTTTTTGTTATTTTTTGTTTCGTAATGAGTAGAAGCTTAATTACCGATAGTTATTTTGTTTGTTTTATCGAGAAAAAATTACACAACTCCGAAGAACCAAACGGAAAAACTAAAACGATTCTGAAGATGGAGAGATGACGGGGAAAATACTCCGCATTATTGGCTGTATTTTATAACAAAGTATAGAAAGTGGTTAAATTTTATATTCTCTTTTTTTTCATTTGCTAAATTTAGCTAACTTGCTAGCTGCAAGTTTCAGGTTGTTGTGGTTGCTGTTGCTGTTGTATGTAGGTTTTTTTTCATTATGAAAAAACAGATATTTCTTTACATTGTGTGGATTTTTTGTTGTTGTGTTATTATTTCACTTTTTCGTACATGTTTTTTTTACTGTTTGCTCAAAAAATTTATTCTGGTTTGTGGAATTTTTGTTTTCTGTATCTGTTGTGTTTTAATGTGTTGGCATTGGGATGTTGTTTATCTTTTTTTGTTATGCGGTGATTTTTTTTAAACATCAACAACCATCTTCTTGTGGATATCAGTATTACCAACTACCGAGCAAAATTCTTCAAACGATATTTTACCATCTTCATCTTTATCGGCAAAAACAATCGTCTTATCGACGATTTGTTGAAGTTGCGTATCTTTCAGATTGTTGCCGACCATCATTTTCAGCACCTGTAACAAACAACAACATACACATGAAATTTAATAGAGAACAAAAAAAGCAGATGTTTAAAAATTATCGGTCGCTTTGTGAGTGAATGTTGTGTTGACTAACAAAATATGAAAACGAAAACTCTCGGGAGAAAAAGGATTATTTGCGGAAACAAGAAATAAAATATGCTTGACTTGTTTATGTTGGCATTTTTTTTTCATCAGCTTAAGTTTTTCATTAGGAAAATGAGCTCAAGCTTTCCTATCACGTTAAATTTGTTTGGTTACCTGAGGGGCCCATTTACTAGGATACAGGTAAAGTGCTTTGAGAACAACTACAACAACGACGACGTCGAGAAAGAAAAAGAAAAAAAACTACTACGATCGAACAGCTACCCGTTTTGCTTACCTGAAATAGTTCGCCGTTTGATATAAAACCATCGTTGTCCATGTCATAGATACGAAATGCGAATCGGAGCTTGGACAATTTATCGCCTTTAACGCTAAACTGTGAAACACCTTGTATAAATTCCTTGAAATCGACCTCACCATTGCCGTCCGCATCAAATATATCGATGACACGTTGCACCAACGGATTCTGCTGTAGCTCAGCAATCGACATAAATTCATCGACACTCAACGCTCCCGAATTATCCAAATCCAATTTACGGAAGCGTTTTCCCAGGCGTCGAATTTCATCTGCGTCGACTGTGTATGTGGATTATGCAAATTCCCAGCATGAGAAACGAACATGAGAAGGAGAGAAATGAAAAGAGAAAAAAAATGGTCAGAAAGTGATACACTGACAATTTCTATTCTATTTTCATTATTAATCGATTCCTACGGATGCTATTTCCGTTCATTATAGTGAATGAGAAGAAGAGCATTGAAAACGGAACCGAATAACAACAAAAAAAAGAAAGTTTAATCTTATGCTAATTCCATTTTATGACAATGATTCGTTAAGCACCATTGCGATGGCCATCGAAATCGATGGAAATTCAGCGGCATTTTCATTCCAAGGACTTGTTTCAATGCCTTCATAGCAGAGATGGGACGCCCTTCACCAAGCACACACTCACACAAACACTTATAGTTACGCAAAAACAAATTAAGTGGATTCTTGCACAAGAGCTATAAAAACGCGTCCATTTAGAGGGTAATGTTATCACTTTTCTTGGCTTTCGTCGTTCGGACGGATCATTTCGACAAAACGGCTCTAAATAGCCCTCTAAGCCGAATTAAATTGATGAAATGTATTAAATGATGATGCACAACCATCACGCATATTGAAATAGATTATAGAGATCGTATTGGAATGAACAGAAATTCAAGCATTACTAATTTTTAGTTAAAAAGAGTGTGTATTCTTTGGTTGATGTGCCGATGGTCACTCTTTGCACACATTTTGTAGTGGTATTGGTTTTTAATCTGCTTTCGAATGGAAAATTTTCTATAGAAAATCGGTGTGTGATCTCGTTTGAACTCAATTGAATGGATGACAAAATGACTGACAATTACATTTAATGTGTTGAGAATTGAATGAAATACCAATTTTATATGTTTTCACATCCATTCGCCCCAATCAGTTGAGACTGAATGGAAAATTGATACATTAAAATAACGCTTATTATTTATCATCCTTTGTCGTTAAAAGCAAAACAGAGGAAGAGAGAGAGAGAAAGAGAGAGAAAGAGAGAGAGAGAGATAGCGGATGAGAGAGAGATCTATAAAAGCGATTGATTATTTTGAAGGACATGACAGAAAATGCGAAGTGAAACCGAAGCACTTATGCCAGCATTGGTAAGCGTGTGCACTGGAATGATTGGATAATGTCAGAAAAAAAAGACATATTACCCATTAATTTAATTGATAAAATAGCCACACGGACACTCGAACCGCACAATGTATTGCACACAATTCAATATTTTGTGATTGCAGTTTGGTGTACATTTCGTTTGGAGGAGCTTGCGTTTGCAAGTGAACGGTAATAAATTTGTAGCAAAGCTCACTGTTGCAACCATAGTTGGTTGGTCGGTCGATCGGTCAGTTGGATGGACTAGAATTTATGGGCTACTAAATTTATTGGTTGATGATCGGCATTGGAAATGTCTACACATTCATCGACAAAACAACGGCCACCACATTCTCTATATTGGCCAGTGATGCGAACTTCATTATATTGGTCATTTGGTTAATCAAATTGAATAAGTTGAATGAGTTATTTTATGTGCCGAAAAACAGCAACAACAAAGTAGATAAAGAGAAGAGCAATCACGTAAAAACGGTTGATTCGAAATGAAAGCATGGTTATGATGTATGCCAAAGTAGGTCGAAAGGAAAATCTCATAAACGGAATTTGGGTGAATTTTTTATTTTAATTAAAAAGACACAATTAATATTCGATTTTATTATGTGGGCATGAGTTGCGAAATGGTGGAGTTTTTTTTTTCTCGCTTTATCCCTTTGCTGAGTTCGGTGTTTTCATGCTTTTATACATCGTTTGAAAGTTAATTGCGAATGGCGGTATTTTATTTTGATATACACAGATAGATAGATATTTTCTCGTATGGTTGCTCTCCTTCTATCTCTGTCTCTCCTTTTTTCTCTCTCGCGGACGAAATAGAAGAAGAGTGAACGTGACGCTTGCCATATGTATGTTTGATGATGCTGTTGGTGCATCCGAATCATGAATATAAAATAGCGCAAACAGAATGGATGCGACATATACAAACTTATGGAATATTACAGCCACACCACATCACCTTAATGATTTATTTAAGCGCGATTTTTCCCCCAACTCTCTCTTTCTGTCTCAGTCTCTCTCTCTCTCTCTCTCTCTCCCGCGCGCGCATTCACCCTTTTTTTCTCGGTGTTAAATGAATGTGCGAGCTTGCATTATTTTCTCTTCTTGTTTGCTTCATTTTTTGTTGTTGTTGCTGTGATTCTGGCTTTATCTCTCTATGGTGTTTTACTTTTCGTATGAAGGTGCAAGCGTGAGATACTTTCCATAGATTTATAAGCAAATCACATTTCATGTTTATACATTAAACGATGCACATATATGCATGGAACCGCAACAAGCGCACATGCTAGAGAACGGCGACGGTGGTAAAGGCATGGGATTATTATGGAATAGCGTTCTATTTTGCAAAATTCGTATTAAATAAATGTATCTGTTCGTCTATCTGTGATTTGGTTGGTGATGGTGGTTGCGGCTGTCACCGTCGCTGTCGCTACTTCTGTCCCTGTGAATACTTTTGTGTTTTTGTGAAACATACACAGAGACTGTGTGGTCACTGCCAAGTGGGTAAATGTTGATGAATGGGTAATGCAGTTCGGTATATGCTGCTGCCGGTGGTGGTGCTTTTATTGTGGAAATGATAAGAGCTTTTGTTCTCAATGTCGAATTATGGCTTTGGTTGTTCGCTTCAATAGTTTCATTTCGAAAATTCACTTTGAAAAGCAATAATAGTTCTCTCTCTCTCTCTCTCTCTCTCTCTCTCTTTTCCATTTCTCTTCCATTTGGAATCGTATTTCAAAATCTAATGTTTTATGACGCCACCATAAACCTCATCGCATCAGTTGAATTAAATCGACAATCGGTATCCGGTATTTCTGTTGCCATTAAATATTGCCCTGAAAACGCTGCTCTTGATGCATACTAATATCCACTAACCGTGTTAGCATTCAGATTGTCAATCACAATGTCAATCTCTTTATGGGCTCCTCGCACCTTGCACACAGACACAAACATGCACATGCACACGCACACAATTGAATGTGCAATGATGTGAAACGGAACAATGTCATTTTGAACGAAAGGCCATTCGAAAATTTAGATCTTTTGCCCAGCGCATACTTTGTCGATGTTATCATCCATCGGGCAAAATGTGTGCCCATATTGAAACTATACAATTTCAGGACATTTCCAAGCAACAGTTTGCTGGATAAAAGTAGCCTTAGTATCACATTTATAAATCGTTAAGGAACAAAATAATGCCATTAGCGAATATAATGTACCATCATAAATGCGAAATTTTCCGTATGGTTTCGTCGGACGGAATAAGAGACGGCTTTCGATGTGGTTTGAAAATTGCAAATCGCATTTTATTTTCAAATGAGTTTTTGGCATCCATTTCCGAAAAATGCTCCGTGCAATTTGGCATTGAATGCAACAACACCGAACAATACTACTTAATTAGCATAGAGTATGCAAAGGATTTTATGAATAAACCAACAGTTCGGGCTCGAGAATGTTCAAGCATTTGTACACCTAAAATGGCACAAACACACACACACACATATGGTATGCTATGTTTTTTTTCTCCCTCCACATTTCGATTTACATTATTTTGGGTGTGCGTTGATTTGTGTGGATTCGCAAGCATTATCAATTGACATTGTGGTTATAAGTTTTGTATTTGCCGAAGGCTTCATTGGTTTCCATTGCGAAACTATTTACTTGATTGAACGGATTTTGCCTTTCGCAATATATTCCTGCACAAGCGCGTACACACACACACACACACACACACACACACACACACACAATCCATTTTCAATCAATCAACAAACCAAGTTTTTGCATTGTTCGGTTTTATTCAATGCAACCAATTGTCTGACATTCATCACATGCTTAAACACTAGCTATTAAAGTTTCTCTACACACCTTTCCTGTGCGCCTCCATTTGAAATAACTTTCGATAAGAAGTTTTTGACTTTTCTTCTTTGCACTTCTTCACTTGATTCATTCTTCTTCACTTGATTCATTCTTTCTTCCTCCTCTTCTCCTTATTCGTGCATTTTGTGTATGTGTGTGGTGTAGCCGCTGGCATTTTCATAATCTAAGTAATTGTTTGAGTTTTAGCACGAGTAAACGAATTTGCCCGAATTGTCTGACAATGGGAATGGAATGTGAAGTGGTTGGTTTGATTTGTTGCTTTGATTACATACACACTTTTGCTCGTCAAGTGAGCCGTCGTGTATGTGTTTACCTTTGGGCCACTTCGAAGTGAACGTAGAAAATTTCATTTTCACCACACCACATCACACAACTCATTTCAGGATAAAGCTCTCGCCCCGCCTACTGCCTCCAATAGTTTGGATTGATATTGTAAGTTGTGGTCGCATAAAATTGTTTGTCTGTTTGCCAATGGCAATCATTGTTGGAACGAAATCCCCCAGAGAGAAACGTGCAATAAACATCAGATGAAAACCAAAATTAACCAGCATTAATGTGATCAACTTGTTTTATTGACATGATTCGCCGTCGTCGTCCCCGTGCTGAATCAAACCATCAATGGGATGGTTTCGAACTTCTTTTTCATTGGCACTTATACCGACGATTGCCTATTCCGGATATTTAGTCGGAAAGTTTTATCAGTTTTTCGATGGTACACTCGAATTATCGCAGCCAGTCGACATTTGTTGACTTTGCGTGCACAAATTGCTGTTTGTGCTTCTTTTTTTCTTGTCTCATTGCAGTGACACAGCTATTTGTTTGGTTTCTCACTTCCGCAATTAATCGATTTGTACGGCCGGTTAATCCGATATCTCGCTACTTTTTTTTCCACACTTTTCCAATATTTATGTAATTTTATTTGCAACTGCAACTAGTTCACGTTACTGTGCTGCTTAATACACACCACTTGACATTTCAATTTTAGTTCGACTGATCAATTGTACAGTCACACGGCACCCTACCA